AAAGATTTCATTGGTGGAAATTATTTGAAATAATGTGATGTTATCATGTTAATGTTATCATTACTATTATTAATTTATCTTTTAAAATACAATTTGAAAAAGTAAAAATCGATAAATGAAAGATTTAGAATTATGGGTGAAAAAAGGAATAAGAAAGCGATGGAATGAAAATTAAGCAATCATTAGAATTTCAATGGAAAAAAGAACGAAATTTGAAAAATTAGATATTATTGGAAATAATTTGCAGCTGTTGTTGTTTTTTAATGTCTGATAATTTACTACAATCCTTTCGCATTCAGTTTTCTTGCTCAAAAAACTTTTTTTCTCCCCCGAAATAATCATTCTCGAATTAATGGTTCCCTAATCTCTCTATCATTTCGTCCAACAAATCTGCAATAAAAAAAGAAAAAAACAAGAGGAGAAAAAAGGTCATCATCATCATCATCATAATAGATTTATCATTAAAATCGGGCACGACAGGAGTAAATACAAAATTGGGATTGAAAATGGATGAACTGATAAAATTGATCGATCTAATGGTTATTTCATGAAATAATGATTGGTTGGTTTTTACTCGATACATTTTAGTTTAGCTAAGCTTAGCCTAGTCTAATTAGGATTATTTAATTTGCTATGGCAATATTCTATCAACCGAATTCAGTCAGTCTTTTTTTTTCTCTCATTTGTGCTCTTTTCTGTCTTCTTCATCTGTAAAATGACTGATTCAATTTGGTAAAAGAACGGAAACCAACACTTATAGTATTATTACGTCTATAATCCATAGGTGATGAAGTTCTTACATACATCTGAATCACTGCGTGGGATGTCCGTTTTCGTAGTGGGTATTAGTTTCCACGGTTGGAAACAGTATGGTTTTAATGATCTTTTTTTTTTTAGAGGAGATGATTTGGTTAAACGGCGTGATTCGGCGTGACGTAGAGGGATGTGTCTTTTCTACGTGTATAGAGTACGTCAAGCCTGTAATGACCTAATTGGAACCACATTCAACTTCACTTAAGGCGTTTGGATAATGAACCCGTGATGAACGTAAATATCCGCTATGAATATGTTATAGAAGTGTGATGGAAATGATGTCATCACACACGATTCTGTTGATCCAACCGATAGCGCGCATAGAATCACGTACGTGGTCCGACTATGAAACAACTACCGATTGTATGGAAGGTATATGCTTCAATCTTAGGTTTATTTGATAATAATTGACCATTATTGTTCGACATTATCCTATATATATGATAAATTGCGAAGTAGAATATACATTTGTTTGGTAATACATATCTTCTGCATATAACAATCGAACATGGGATACGCATCCCAAATTCAACTAAGTATAGCTCGAAGGAAAGCTTTATTTTGCTGTTTCAGGAATATGTAAAATTTTTGAGGAACATTTGAAGAAATTAAACCCAAATTCGGCATCCATCACTTACGATGTGCAGAATTTATTTGAATTCATCGATCGTTTAGCCGATTTGTCATGTTTGGTATGGGAAAATACAATGAAAGCCTATGCACCACATAACAAAGATTGGATCAAGGAACAAATTTATACCTTATTACGAAAACAAGCTGCTAAATAATTAAGTTGCTGGTATCATGTTGTATATCTAAAAACCTGCCCCCAAGTTTTTTGCACTTCATCCACTTTCTGTTTCCTCCTGTTTGTTACTAATTGTTTTTGATTAAAATATATGTTGTTGGGCGATTAAAGATTAAAGACATTTCTAAATTTTAATTAGCCGGCATTCGTAATCCTTGTGATACGTTGAGCTTCACTAACCTCAATTCCTGCTAGTAATGATGTTTATGTCACGTGCTCAACTTGTATAACTAATAGTTATAGTTTTATTCGAAGAGTTATGAAGAATACACCTCACGGGACAAAACTATTTGTACAGAAGAGAATTACATGGTATAGCGAAAGATATATCACAGTAAGGAAGTAAAGCGAGTAATGCAGAAGCTGGAAAGGACATGTCAAAAGACAGCGAGGAAAGGTCGTAGAGGACATAATATATAGAGGGTAAATTAAATTTTCTGTTCAAACAATCCGCTACATCGCAATAAAAGAAAATTGCAAAATAAATGGTCGCTCACATCCACATATATTTAGCCATCTTATAATGATCTTAATATAGAAAAAAGGCAACACTGTAATTGAACAATGGGTCTGTGTAGGGAATGAAATTTAAATGAGCTATGGAGCGTGAAGGAGAATAATTATAAAGAAGACTCCAACACACCAGACTCCAATACCATTCCTTTAGAACCGGTCGTTTCACAGCAACTGATGTTTGATGATCGTGAAATTATGGCTTATTAAGCCAGTAATGGGCGTCTATACAATTGATAGGATCTGCAGGATCCAGAGGTGGCAAATGGGCGCCAGTACCTTCTGTTTTGAACCGTTCTCGCATATAACGTTTTTCCAGGCGGATAGGATCAGTATTTCCTGGATTTTTATTTGAGAAGTAATAAATTTGAAGTCTTTTAAAAGAAACTAATGATGGTAATCCAGCAAACCTATTATAGTACAGAACAAATAAGCAGCTTGCAAACATACCAATAGTGAAAGTCTGAGGGTCCATTATTTCCTTCACACTACTATTACATCCTTCTTCATTACCGGTACTATTTTCTTTTTTGTACATGGCCAAGTACATAGTGTCTGAAATTTTTTCTTTCAATTTTTTTTCAATTCTGAAATTTTTTCTTTCAATCATGGGGAAATATCGTTTGAAGTACGCTATCACACAGCTATTTGAAGATTTTCCTAATCTCATTCGAATCAATTGGTCCACTTCGATTAAACTCATTACTGCCCTATGTATAAATCAACAACTTTCTAATTCAACTCTATTAATTGACTGCTGTACATGAGTTGCTGAGTTTAAGTTTGTGAGTTTATGTGACTTCGTATGCATTATTTTGATCAAGAAAAGGAAAATTTGAACAAAAAGAAAATCAAACCGTTGTCTTTGGTTGAGGTAATGGAGCGGAATAGCTCATTGAAGTAACATTTGTGATGGAAAGTGTGGAATCGCTTACTGATGTGATACTGCAATCAGTCTGCATAATAGGTGCTACTGCAGCAGCAGGTCGTAGTGTCGGCACAACACTGGAGCTAACCGATCCTGCGCCTTCTGACAATGGTGGCGTCTGCACCAAGTTCATTTCTTCCTTTTCTTCAATCCTTTTTTTTTATAAATGGAAAGCGGAAGTAAATATAATTTTCAATATAATTGTTTAATTGTTCCCTACGAGTTATATTTTCACTGTAGTTGTTTATTTGAAATTTATTTCAATAGTTAACTTTGATAAACTCTCACGACATTGTCTTGTAGGGAAATTTCGGGATTTTAAATTGAAAAAATGACAATCCTCCTCATTCTATCCCCGCTCCATTACTTTGTATGCCATATTTTGCTTTCTCGTTTTTCCTTTTCTCTCCAGCAAGAAATATTCATGACCATAATAAAACTCTGCAGGCAAGAATGGAAGCAAAATGAATATACTTGTTGACTCAGTGGATGGCGCCGAATTCATCGTAATCATTTGTACACTTGAATCGTTGCTCTCAACTTCACTGGTTAAATGAGTAGGAGTCAGAGGTGTTGGTAGCACTACATCTAACGGTGCATTCATTATATCCTGCAAATAAAACTGTTTATATCCTGCAAATAAAACTGTTCCTGAGGAAGATGGCATTTCTATCCTACTTAGGGAAGTGGTCTTTTTATCATTTTGAACAACAGTTTCAACCTCTCTACAAAAATTTAACTTAATAATAAACTGATAAGTCTGTGAAGACTTAAATGATGAGATGCTTACCACAACTGGAATACTTTTTGTCGGTGTAGCTCGGTTATTTGGAACAAATGACTGAAAAGCTGCAGTTGGTGCTGAAGTGCAGGCCACTCTCTAGAATACAATCAGAAAGCTATCCGATCTATGTTCATCTACAACTAATATTTCACAAACTGATTTTCATATAAATGTCGACTTAGACATTTTGATGCAATTTTTATTTCAATACGAGATCGTGCCATTATTTGAGAACAAATGGTTGTCGTGCGATTCTTCTGCACGAAAAATTATGTGAAGTGGTGTTGAATATGAGAAAAGACTTACTGTGCTGCCAACAGTTGCTAGTCCATTCATATTATTAACGCTCCTGAGAGGTTGATGCCAAGGTGACACTGCTGTATGAAATGTGGCATCTTGGGGATACTGAAAAAAACATGCGATGAACTAAATTCAAATACCATTTTCCAGTATGATAAAATTCTAATGAGAAACGAGAACTAATACATAATAAGGGGAAACTAACAATGAGATGATGGGCAGGAATGATGGCTGGCTTGGTTAATGCCGATATGGTGCTAGTTGGTATTATGCTCCGAGCAAAATTGGAATGCATTTTAGTTGGTGCAAATGGAGAAGTATAGACTTGAGGATGTATGATAGTTCCATCAACTGCCTTCCTGACCTCAACTGCTGCGATAGTATTCATATCTGCTCCTGACCGTGCTGTTAAAGCTGGTTGCTCCAATAGTGCTGGATTCGATGCAAAAGGTACATAATTCACGGGAGCTGACATGGACAGCGTGGTCGATGAAGGAGCAACAATATTTCGCGGTGTTGTCACTGACGGTCCTTTAAGTGAGTCCGTTGTAACGGTAACCGAAATTGGTTGAGAAATACCATGAGTGAGAGAAGTCGGTGGTGGAAGAGGAGTGTTAACTTGCTGGGTGTTAGCAACTGTTAAATTTGTGTGTATCGTATTCTGATTTTGAGAAGCGAAAGTACTCTGATTTGCGGAAAAATGATGTGGTAGGAATACATGCTGTGGTGCTAAGGACGCAATGGTTTGTGATTGAGAAGCTAATAATGGTTTTGATGTTTGTAAGGAATGCGGCGGTAATGCCATATTACCAGAAAACATGTATGGTTGCGGGATCTCTTTTGCGGTATTGCTCAATGAAGTATTTGGTATAGACTGATTAGACATAGGTGGAAAATGAGACCGCAACGATAACAAACCCTGATACTCCGAAAACTGAACAGTATCAGATGTGGGCATGGTTTGGTTAGATGGTATCTCATCTCTGCGCGGTAAAGATGGCATATCAATAGGATGAGACTGTCCCGTGCTATAGGGGAGACATGTTGGTTGGGTGTCCATTGCCCCCTTAGCAATGTTATTTCGGTAGTACTCCAAGCAGTCTTTCAACCTCAGTCCACTATAACCTGAAACCAAATGTTAGTTCGTTATGTAAAAACACACAAAACCCACTAATGAAAAACGGTTCCTTTCCTTTCTACTTTAGTAAAAGCTTATGAACTTGAAACAGCTCCAATTTAAGCCTTAGATATTCATGCGAAGAAAGATAAGTGTAATAATAATGAAAAGGACGGGAAGTCATTAATCTAATTCTAGTGTGACGGAAAGTCACTAACCTAATTCTAATGTATTTCCATTCCTTATATTTCCAAAACCTAGCGAAATACGTCCTTCCTCCTTTTTAATGTTTTGAGCAGCAGCAGTTGCACGCTCTTCCAATCCTCGCAGCATTTCTTTTTCCTTTTCATTCTTTTCTTCTTCAACTGCAACATAATATCTAAGCCATATTGGGTCTTAAAATTCCATCAAAATAGGTTACTTGGATAATATTTCGTTAATTCTCTCGACAACCGCTCTTTCCTCTCATTGAAATCAACTGAAATACAACTCACAAGCAGATTCGATTGCTTCAACAGCCTCTCCCAAACCTTTCACCATCGAAAATAATGTTGAATAAAAATTTAAGCCTTCTTCTGTCTTCTGCGAAACATCAACGTACACATCATAAGCTGCAGTAAGAGCAAGTACCTGGTCCATACGACTAAAATAATAATTATGTTTCTTCCATATGCCAAAAACAGACAACATCAGAATACCGAAAACAATATTATGAAATATCGATTCCTAGAAAAGCTATGATTGAAAGTTCATGTAGCATAAGATATTCATAAAATGACATTTATTGGAAAAACTTGCTTTTTATTTTCTTCCATAATTTTTTTACGATAATCACCAAAACTCGCATTCGCATCTGTCAATGCACTGAGTATATTATTTTGCGCAGCAAGATTCATATGAATCAATGTAGTGGTCTCCTCATGCTTCTTTAGCTCGTTTTCATACAATCCCTGCAAATCATAATCTTCTATTTTTTGATTCTACCAACTATTACATCTCTCAACAGACGAAATGTTATGAGCTCAACTAACCCAATTATCTTCATTCTTCTCTGCCAGACATTTTGCAGTAATATCATCATTTAGCAAATCTTCGTTTAATTTCGAAAGTAGAGTACGTCGCTGACTGCTCATTTCATTCGCCTTATCCAGCATCTTTTTCAGCAATAGTCCTTCCGTGCTATCTGCTATAAATAACATTTTTATTTCTACTTAAACGAAAAAAAAAGATGGAATACCTGGTTTTGTCTGAGTATCTGTTAGTCGTTTTCGTAATTCGTTCAAAGGCATCGCCAGAATTTTTAGACTTTCGGAATGAGCAGCTAATGCACGTTGTAGTTCTGCATTGTTCGTCCTTTAAATCATATTAGATTTTAGAAGTCTTGATTAGAATTGGCTAAAAAGTCGATGTTTGAACTGCATTTACCGCGCTTTCATATGATGATCATTGACGCGATTAAGTTCTTTCATGATAGCGATGAAACCTTCGTCAGCTCTCTGCAATAATATGCAACGTCGCATACACATTATACAATCAACTGTGTTATTTTCAAAAGACACTTCGGCAGAATTAAATCACAAGTAACTTCATCAGTATTTTGAATTCAAGCCGTACCGCGTCAGATACATAATCATCGAAGGAGAATCTACTCTGCAGTAGCTGATAATTAAAACGTAACCAGGTGAAGTGAGTTAATAGCATCCAGCCTATTACGCAGATTGCTGATTTTGTGATCCGCTTCTATTGCATATTCTCCAACTCCTAGAATGTTCTGTTCCTTACTGATAGAAATCTAGCACTCAATTCCTTATCAATACAAAAACAGGTTGTGCTGCCATATGAACAAAAAGAGTACGATGCAATTTGTCCAGTAGTTCAGGAAAGGCATCTGGTTGTGAATTAAATGCAGCACTTCTTTCTAACAACATTTCCGGAAATTCCTCCATTTTCGAATCATCACCAAAATTAATTTCTTCCAGTTGCAAAGATTTAATATAGTCTCTAAAAACAGATGATATTATCAGAATATCTGAAAAATACAACAAATAATATATTCATCTATGACATGCCCGAGTGACTTGTCATGTGTTCTTCATTAACAGAAGTGATACATGTTGTGTTCTTTTTGATGACATGAGTTGTGACACAAGCTCCATCCCTCTCTTTCACGGAAGATGAAGTAGACGAATGTAAAATTTTTACAGAAGCGGTATAACAGGGATGAATGTATGCGTTAAACATGAAAATCCATTTCCTCATGCAGTTGATTGAAATATTAGCAACTTGTGGTATTGGTAAAGAACATTCAACAGAAACTACCTGGTAATACATGACCGATCGTTTAATATGGACAAACTATCAACGTATAGACGGATAAATTACTTTTCAAGAAATAAGCAACTTATCAGTATAAACTTACTCTAATTCCTTATCCTTTTCTTCAATTTTTTCTAACAATGCACGTTTGAACTTTGCTTTCTCTTCACTATAAACAGAAAGCGACTTGAGTACATTTCCTGGTAGCAATGCAGCGAAAAGATCTGGACCGGAGATCGATTTGTCGGTTGGGTCGAATCCGACTGCTTTTACCATATTAACACCCTGTACAACATGCTTTAACACTAAGAATGTTTCAAAAAGTCAGCAACTTCCTACCGGAATTAACTGAAACTTTCGGTCCATCCATCGTAAAGCTTTTCCTGGAGTGCAACTGTATGTCTTCCAGTGCATCACGACGAGCAAATAACGGTAAACATCAAATCATTCAGTCTATCCAAACTTGATTCAAATATCTCATTATATTTGCAAATTGTTTGGAGTTATTTTTTTAAAACTGTTTCCATATCTGAATACAATATTATCTGAAAAAAAAGGAAAAAAATATCAATAAACTCGCACTTCTACAAGCAATAATTCTTCTGGTTTCGGCATTCGGTCATGATAAATAAAATCGTTTTCTTTCTTTGCATTTCGTTGTCTAGAACACAATTATATAAGCTACTGTTTCGCTCTATCCTTTTCATTGGCCTCTTACATCGAAATAAGGCATTTTGTTTTTTTTTATTTTTTTTGTAGCTATCTTTTCCCCCTTTTTATGAAGAACGATTCTGTAATTAGTCTTTCATCATCGAAGGATAGCACTGAAACAATCTTCCAGCAGTACAAGGAAGAAATGCTTCCAGGAGAGGCGATAATATTTATATTGATGGTTGCTAGTGATACTCTGATGAACATCTATATCAGACGAAATAAACGAAGACTAACTTTCCGAGGATGACATCGTTCAAGAAAACGACAGCTTCTTTCAAACTTTCTCGCTTATCCTTCTCGACCTGTTTCACAGCTGCAATAACATGTTCCAATGCACGATCGAAATAAGAAACCCTGGAAACATTAGTCGTTAAAAGTATAATTGAGCACTGATTCGGCCAAAAAAATGTCATATATTATCACACTTATCCTACAAAAGTAAGTGAACCTAAAACCCATTTTGTTATCATCTTCTGCCTGCAAGCCAAGATGCAGCATTGCAATTGCCCCGTACATTTCCGATTTTACAATGCATGTTCTCAACCATTCCTGCAAAATTCTAGCTAATCCTGTAGCACGAAAATTAGAGGAAAACAAAATACGTGAATATATATGAAACGCTCTTACCTTGTACCTCGAAGACAAGACATCGCTTAAGCCAGCGAAATCAAAATGTCCACGACACTGCATATATACATCTCTCAGATGTACAGCTAGTTTCGCTATCACTGTATTCTTGCGATGATCAATAATGCTCTTTTCCAGTAAACATTCTTGTGCTTGTGCCTACAAAATCAAGGTAAATGTGAAGAGTCATTCATTTATAGCAAAAAAAGACCACCTGGGTAACAATGTATTGTATGTATTGTATTGTATGTGCTTTGGTAGTGTACTGTATATGCTTTGATGGCAAAAGTGAAAAGAAGTGCTTGAAGTAGCTTACCAACAGTATAGTGACATAAAACGTTAAAATGGAAGGATCGAAATCGATAACGGAATATTTGACGGCATTCATCGAGTCTCGTATTTGTTCGAAAGGATATGCAGCGCATTGGAAATGCATGAAGGCGTTCTTAATTGACTGAAACAAATCTATTTTAGAAATATTCTATTTTAGAAATATTTTAATATAATCTATTTTAGAAATATTTTAGTCTATTTTAGAAATATTTTAGAAATACTCGAATAAGCACTCCAACGAGAGGATGATATAGTAATCCGTTATGGTATCTTCCCTGTCTAAGCGACCATGATTCTTTTTAACAAGTGAAAAAGCAAGACCAACGTCTAGGTCAGTGCGTGCTTCGTTAGCAGCGATCGCTCCATGTATGGCACCAATACTGTACATCACACAAGCAAGCTCATAATTGATATCTTCGAAGACAGTTGCATTTGATGTGTCACTATTTTTGTCCATCCTACAATATCCCCATTTACTTCATATATTCGCAATCTACATACAACTAACACTAATGCTATAGTAATACTAATTACAGTGCTAAAGAAGTACACAATTCAATATCCAATCTTTAATTCATTTCTTCATTTTTACGTAGTTTTTGGACTATTTTAAATAGAACAGTCAGACACTTAAGGATTAATCGCTGTAATAGCAATATATTTTCCAGCCGAGCTATCTGTTATCTTAGTGACTATAGTAAAAGTAGCGTCAGACCAGAAGTTATTTGAAACAATCATTTCTATTATTATCTGTATTTATAACACTGCTACAAATCATAGTTCCAAACTATATGAACATGAATAAGAAAAAGCGGGAGAAGTACCAGGAGAAGGATACGTTGATAGCATCTCCTTTTTCCATTGGGAATCTATTCTTCATCAAGCACAACTGTGAGTAATACCGCTTCAATGTGTTTAACGTTTCCGAATCGGGCAAAAGTCGATTTAATTTCTGGAAAATGATAGTCTAATGCTCGAATACTTATCAACTGGAAATACATCTTAAAAATGACTAAGTTTAAATAGAAATACATAAATTTAGTTGGCTATTGAAACCACTGTTACGAAAATCATTTACACATCAATCATCACTAAGATATTTCCAAATTCTGTCAATGGAAAAAAAGAGATGAACAGTTAAAAAATTAAAAGAGTTACCGAACGCATATTTTCGATCTCCCCAATAGCACTATCATACTTAGTTGGATCATCCTGATAATGCAACAGAATATACTGAAATAATTATATTAAATGCAAGTTGCGTTACGAATGATATAACAGTTAGATATGATAGAATGCACGCAAGTATAACTGGAAATACCAAAATTTTTGTCCGCACTAATCACATGTATTTAAAAAAGTACACCATATAGGACTACTTAAATGAATCAGACATATATACTACATAGAATATAAAAGAAAAATGTATATCATTAAGAAGTATTACAATTAATATATGAATCAATCAAACATGCCGAGAAAAACACTGGAAATCTTAATAGAAAAAAAAAAAACTGAAAAAATAGTACAGTTCAATTGAACGAATACTAAAATAATCTGTAGAAATTGCAATTCTGATAAAATTTTTCCACTAATTAAAAAAAAACCAACTTCTTTAATTTGTGATGAAAAATCAGCAGGTAATGACGCCATACAAAATTTTAAATCTGGCGTAAGCATCGGTACACGTGGCATACCCTCCATGGTTAGTCGAATTGCTGAAAAACTAGTTTTAAGAGAAAATCATAAGATTAATATTACTTGTTATGCAGTTTGATTCTTAACATAGGAAATATTTCATTTCGCTATCCATCACCATCTGACCTTCGTCCGTAAAGTCTGACATGCAATGGATACTATCTATGAACTGTATAGTTTGTGGGACATTTTATAGCACTAAACCAAAAGTTAACTTTTGACTTCTTAGAATACGTCATCATAAGATGTGGTCAAGGACTACCTGCAAAAATATAGCATTACTAGTAAGTGGTTTAGTTCACGCAAAAGCTCAGCTGCAACCTATGAGACTGCATTTCTCCGAGCAAAAGTCAACAGTTGCCTTTGACAAATCTAGTCATAGTTAGAAATATATGGTACATGAATTTTGTAGTCCATCAATATTCAGCAATGCCTCTTCGATATGCAACCAAAGTATCTGACCTTTACACCGGTCGATACTCATTTCTAAGACCTATATAATGCCTTTCCAAATATCATCTAAATACTAAATGAAAGTGTCAGAGAAATTCCTGCAACCCAAGATGGAATCCAACAATTGGCCAACTCTCGAGTACATCTTTCAATTTACAAAAGAAACAGAGGAAACGTACGTGGTATTTCACGGATAGTTGACGCTTTTAAATTTTAACATCTCCATATTCAATTTCGATATGACGGTGTTAGTTTTAAGTAATGGAAATAGTTAAATCTTCAAATATGTTCTGGATCCGGTTTCTAGACTATAACGGAATACTGGAGTAGCATTCCAATGAGAAGGTTTCAAACCATATGGTAATAACATTGCAAGTTCACGATCGATGGAACTTTCCAACAACAACCTTTCGACCTGTAACTGATAAATTTTTTAACGACAATCTTTCAAACTGTAACTGATAAACTCTCTAACAACAACCTTTCAAAGTATAACTGATAAGCTTTCTTTTCTTAAACCTAGAACTTGCCCCTATCCTGGATTCATCTGTCAATAATTTCACCAATCTGTTACTTTTCTGACTTAAAAAGTAGATGGGAAATCCATTTACTTGGTGACACATTCCATGTCTAGTAGTACTCTCTTATGCTAAATTAATAAAGATGATTTCAGGATATCTAAGCAAATTTGAAATGATAATTCTTTCAATTGTATCCTTGAAGTGATAATTTTCAGAAGTACTTCTTAAAATGATAATTTCTCAAATTGTATTCTTGAACTAATAATGTTTAAAATAGTATTTCTTGAAATGACAATGTTTTTAGAGAATATTAGTACTCAAAATAACTAATGGCAATCAATCGTCAAATATTTGTAAGATATTGAGGAAAAGAGAGAGGAAAAAAAGAGAGGATGAGAAAAAAAGGAAGAAAATAGGAGAGAAAAAGTTTGTTAATGCTACATAAACACTGTAATACATTTTGTCTCACTGCAGATATAACAAATGTAACGGTTGTTTGAGATAAATTTAGAAGGAAAAAGAAAAAAAGAAAGTGTTTATTTTATTTCTTTCTTTCTTCCTTTTCGTCTTCTCTCTTCCCTGCAAACCTATCATCCATTGACGTCATTGAAGTGAAATTTTACGATGGATGGGAAGTTTATTGTACGGTTAAATCGGATCCGACATTGTATCCTTTTCATCCATTCCGGATGATTGATTGGTTACAGCTTCTTATCTCAAGTAAGCTTCACTATTTCTATGCCTCTTGCTTTCTTGAAGAGAAATATGAAGAGTGAGATAGAGGTAGAAAGAGAAGAAGAAAGAGAGAGAAAGAAAAAAAAAAGGAAGGAAAGAGGTAAGCTGTTGTCCTTCATAGATTCATAGTTCAGCAATTTCATTCCTTTCATTCTCATTGTTTTGTTCTTTATTAACTTAGTCTTTAGTGAAATGTTGCACATATATACTTTATTAAATTACACATTTAAAGAGACTATTCAATTTGATCTATTCTTACAATTTCTTATCCATTATCATGCAAATATACTACTAATATTATCATTGATAGATATCTTGCCGGATCATCAGTTCGATCATTTCATGTTTTTAACTATCAGGACCGGTCATTCCATATTGTGATCATCGGACGGTTCATGTCATATT